AAAAGAAATCCAGAGAGAATAGGATGCTATTTAAAAAAATTTTTTTAAAGAACACTTGGGACAAAAAGGTAAAAGTAATCTCTTTGAAATTAAAAACTAGAATGGTAGAATTTAACATTTCTATAAGAAATTTGGAAGATAAAATTAAAGAGTTCTGGAGAACAGAACCAAAAATTCCAACATCAAAAAATTTTTAAATAAAAATGTTAGCAGTTTGATCCAGGAAGTACACCATCCAACTAAAAATAATTATAGAAAGAAAAACTGAATAGAGTGGAGGAAATTATTTTAAACAGTACTAGAAAACATCACGGAACTAAAAGAAATGTTTCCAGATTAAAAAGGCCCACCAAGTTGTCAGCCCAATGAATGAAAAATGACATACACATAGAATTTCAGAGCACTTAGGGTGAAGAGAATGTCCCAAAACTTACCCCCCGCCCACAAAGAAAAAAGAAGGAAAGAAAAGAGGTCACATATACAAAATAAGCATCAGAATAGCATATGGTACTTCTCAACAGTAAGACCTAAACCTAGGGTTCAACATAATAATGCCTTCAAATACTGAAATTTCTAACCTAGGAAGTCTCTATCTTGCCAAAATGGCAGCCCAGCCCTTGGATAAAGGCATTTTCAGACTGCAAGGTGACAAAATGCTTACTCCCCTTCAACGTTTCTCCACCAAAAGGAAGGGAGACTTGAGGCTTGTGAGATGGGGCCGCATAAAGGAGTTGAGCAGAAGGAATACGCAGGCAATCAGTGAAGAGAAGCCTCGGTTTGACAGCTATGTCAGGTCTGGACAGCATCAAGTCTAAATTAAAACAGGAGAACAAAGGGTTCCACAAAAATGTCTCCAAGGAAAATAATGAAACGAACAGAACACCTAACGTGCTTGGCATATGACAAGTTTTACAGTACTACCAGACTCTTTCAGGCTGAATGAGTGACGGGAGTACCAAAAACAAACAAACAAACATAAAAGTAAAGCAATGATTAACTCCAGGAAAAACATAAATAATAACCAAGAAAATGTAATCAGCATGTACTACATGGATTACCTGCAAATAACATTTACATAGCTGTGATCATCCAAACACAGAATAGTGCTTTAATGAAACAGTCACATAGTTAATACTGTGGGACAAAGTAGGTGCTGGTATGTGTCTAGGGGTGGGGATGGCCAAGCTAAGATCTCGAGCTAAATCATCATAAATATACTGTCGGGAAGTCAACATATAATGTTTAAACTAAAAAAGCCAACATTAGTCTGAATGAAAAGAGTGTTGCCCACAATGCTGAAACGAAAGGTAGAGAGTTGGAAGGAGGCCCCTAGGGAGCTAGGGGCATGGCTGGTGGATGGGTCAGGATTATTTTTTCATTTTAAGCCTATTTTTTAAAAATTATGCATACGTATAACTGGTTAAAAAATAAAATTTAATTTTAAAAGAAATGTGAATATGAAGAAAGGAATTGGAGACGTTCTAGACCCTCTTTGAAGCACGCTGCTACGGAGAGAAGGGACTTCGCAGTGAACGAGCACCTCCACCCACGCCCCCTACACACAGGGAACGTCCCGACAGCTTCTTATACCCATTTCTTAAATAAGAACGAGAAGCCAAGGATCATTAGACATTTGAGAAAAGCTTCTAACAGGAAATGCAGGATTACAAGCAAAAGAAACAAATGCAGGGGGACGGAGGGGAAACAGACTGTGCTGAAGAAACACGCAAGAAGAAAGTGGACAAAAAAACTCCTAGCGATATTCTCAGCAAGACAAGAGAGGATACTATGTGCATGAATCAAGGACAAAATACTATTTTTTTTTAAAGAGGAATAAAGAGAGGGAGGGAAGGAAGGGAGGGAGGAAAACCTAGAAAACAATTCAACAGCTCTTACATTAAAAAATAAATAGGATCCCACAAATGAAAAATGTAATCGAAGAGTTGGAAGATGAGGTTGAGAATATTGCCCAGAAAAATAGAAGAAAAAGACAGATGGAATGGGGGCCGGGGTAGAAAATTATAGGATACATTTGTATAGTCTGACATCCAACTAAGGAGTTCAAAAAGAAAGGAACAGAAAGAAAAAAAAAATAGAAATGAGAAAACAATTCAAGAAAACTTCCCAGAATTACAGAACATGAGTTTGACTGCAAGGACCCATGAAAGCACATTGGAGGAAAACAGGCCTGGATCGGGGAAACTTTTCAGAACACAGAGGACAAAGAGAAGACCGGAAAAGCTTCCCTGAGGCGGGGAACGTGTTATCAACAAAGAATGACACGGGACTGTAATGGCAACATCAGAAGTTCCAACACTGGGCAGCAACGCCTCCAGATTTTTTATTTATTTATTTATTTATTTTTTTGCGGTACGCGGGCCTCTCACTGTTGTGGCCTCTCCCGTTGCGCAGCACAGGCTCCGGACGCACAGGCTCAGCGGCCATGGCTCACGGGCCCAGCCGCTCCACGGCATGTGGGATCCTCCCGGACCGGGGCACGAACCCGCATCCCCTGCATCAGCAGGCAGACTCCCAACCACTGCGCCACCAGGGAAGCCCCAGATTTTTTAGAGACAATTACTTCTAACCTAGAATTTCATGCCCAGCCACAAACTACTAAATAGTGAGGGTAGAATCTTTTGACATGCAAGGTCTCAGAAAGTTAAACCTCTCACACACCCTTTCTCAGGAAGGTAATAGAAGATAATCTTTGTCAGGAGAGGGTACACCAAGAAAGAAGACGATGTGAGAGCCACACAACAGAGGGTCGTACCCAAGAGAGAAGCCAGGGAGTCCCTGCGGCGGTGGCCAAGGGCCTTCCCAAGATGCAACCAGGCCAGATGAAAGTAGGTCAGAGGCCCTGGGAGGGACGTCTTAAGATGGGGAGGGTGACAGTGAACCTGATGTGTCCGTGGTGTTGCAAAAGAAAGAAAGGGGAATCACGGCAAAAACAATATAGGGCAGCTGTGAGCCACCTTTCCACAGGCACTAACTGTGAATCTAACAAACTCTATGATGACAGTACTGAGAGAGTGGGGATAGGCCATGTGTATGGGTTAGGAGATCACTAAAAAGAATTAAAGCCAATAGATGGTGCTAAAAACTGAAAAAGATCAAGAAGTATCAATAAAAGCCATGTTACCTGGAGAAACAGAAATACACATCAAGGCAAACCAGAGGAGTGGGAAGTGGCCGCCTAGGGAACAAGGCAGTTGGGGAGGGGAGCTGCTGTAGCAGTACTCAGCCATATAGAGCTACACGATTCTGTGCGTACACATGGCTTCAGTAAAGACAAGGGCTAAGCGCTTACGTTTTATAGAAACTCAAAAGCGTGCTCATCATTCCAGAAAGACTGTCCACTTAAAAACAAGGACTTTCAATCCTGCCATTCACAGGGATAGACAGGGGCTGTGACAGGCATGAGCAAACCAAAAGATCCTGGGATTGGGAGTCCTGAAAGCAGAAACATCCTTTCTTCTCCTGGATGCCTAAACCAGAAATATTAGCAGAGAAAAAGTAACTACCTTAGCCACTGGGAGGATTTAGTGTCTCTAAGGAAATCAAAATAATCACGAACTCTTGCAAACACAGACCCCATCCATACTACAGTGCTGTCTAAAAACTGCATTTATATACGCATGGAAATAACTGACAGCTCTTTTGCAAACAATGAAGGGGGAGAGGTGGGGAGAGAAAAGCCCATTCAGTCTGATAAAGTACATCTCATAACTGAGCTGGTAGATCAGTGCCCCCTTACCGTCTCCACCTTCTGTTATGCGAACTTCTAGCAAAGGTTAGGAATGGGTGGGAATTCACAAGTAACCTGAGGATGGAGAGGCAGCTCTGCCACCAATGATGAACTGAGAGTAGCTGAAAACAGTATAACAAGACTCAATTTCCTCTCCTGCTCAGCATCTCACAGAGAAGCTAGGATGAGAGTCTGACTGAGTTCCACTTGCAATTTGGCAAACAAAAATAAAATCACTGATCATTTATCCTGAGTTTCATCTATAAAACTGAAATAAAAGCTGTGGTCTCATCTCTTAGAATTGTTTTGAACGTTGAATGAGAAAATACACATTCTAAGATCAGTGACTGGATGCATGACAAGCTCTCACTACCTTTTAGTTATTTTGCTCACCGGAGCCTCTTTAAAACTGAGCGAAGCCGGGTGGTGCCTGGCCCACATTAGAGTATCAGGAAGAAACCGGGGGTTCCTCCAGGCTGTATCTGGGGCATCCATTCAACTTGGCCCCTAGCACCAGTGACCAGCCAGCCCACCTCACACGCCGAGAGTCCCCCCAGCTCTGCGCTCCTCCGGGCAGGAGAGAAGGCGCGGGGCCCCGGCATCAACTGCAGATGCACCGCCCCCAAGAGCCATTTTCCAGCTGCCTCTCCTCCCGCTCACAGCAGCAGCCGGAGGAGGGGTGGCGAGAAGCGGAGGGAGCCAGGCACTTACAAGGATTATCTCCCACCAGCCGGGAGTTACGCAACAGTCTGCGTAAACAAATGCAAAATATCCCTTAGGGACAGCGCGGCGAGGTCAGGGAGTTAACACAGAAAACAACGGCCCCATTCACAAGACAGAGCTCAGTGGTTCCTAACCTCTGGCGGTCACCTTCGAGAATCTGATGAAAGCTGGGCGCCTCTCAAAAACAAACGGGCGCTCAGAAATAAGCAGATGGGAGTTCAGTGGTCCAGAGGCCACCACGGCCAGCGGATGAAGATCCGGGGACTTCGCCAGGGACACGTCAAAGGCATTCACATTGGGCTCAACCCAGAGCCACCTCATTACGGAATAAAGGATGGGAGGGCGGAGGCGGGGCAGCCACCTTCATTATTTTGTCAAGGGAGGCGCATTCTCCGCCTACCCAAAATACCTAGATTAAATAAAATGAAGGAAGCGCCTGCTCTGAGCGCTGCGACAAACAGCTGGGCGGTTCAGAGGAGACCCAAGAGCAAATCCAGTCCCGCGAGCGGGGCCCTCCCCGGCCAGGTACCTGGCAGCGCCGAGTTCTCCGCGGCCTCCGCGTCCCTGGCCTCCGCGTCCCCCGCGGCCTCCGCGCCCCGCTCCTCCTCCGGGGCCGCGCGCGCCCGCTGCTCCGGCTCCTCGCGCGCCGCTGGCTCCACGGGCGGCGGCGGCGAGGCCGGGGCGCACTGGGGCGCGGGGGCCCCGGCGCCCGAGGACGCCGACGACGCCGAGTCGTCCGAGGCGCAGGCCGGGCCCCAGTCGTCCCACAGCCAGGGCGCGTGCGCCTGCTCCAGCAGCCGGCGGCCCAGGCGGTAGTGGAGCAGCGCGCGGTAGCACGGCCCGTACTCGTCCCAGCGCGGCTCCTGGTAGCGCTTCATGTACTCGCTCTTCACGCCGCTCCCCGGGGACATGGTGCCTCCCGCCGGCCCCGAGTGCCCGCCGTTCCGCGCCGCGCTGTCGCCTACGGAACCCGCGGCACGACACATAGGCGCGCAGCCGGAGGAGGGGTGGCGAGAAGCGGAGGGAGCCAGGCACTTACAAGGATTATCTCCCACCAGCCGGGAGTTACGCAACAGTCTGCGTAAACAAATGCAAAATATCCCTTAGGGACAGCGCGGCGAGGTCAGGGAGTTAACACAGAAAACAACGGCCCCATTCACAAGACAGAGCTCAGTGGTTCCTAACCTCTGGCGGTCACCTTCGAGAATCTGATGAAAGCTGGGCGCCTCTCAAAAACAAACGGGCGCTCAGAAATAAGCAGATGGGAGTTCAGTGGTCCAGAGGCCACCACGGCCAGCGGATGAAGATCCGGGGACTTCGCCAGGGACACGTCAAAGGCATTCACATTGGGCTCAACCCAGAGCCACCTCATTACGGAATAAAGGATGGGAGGGCGGAGGCGGGGCAGCCACCTTCATTATTTTGTCAAGGGAGGCGCATTCTCCGCCTACCCAAAATACCTAGATTAAATAAAATGAAGGAAGCGCCTGCTCTGAGCGCTGCGACAAACAGCTGGGCGGTTCAGAGGAGACCCAAGAGCAAATCCAGTCCCGCGAGCGGGGCCCTCCCCGGCCAGGTACCTGGCAGCGCCGAGTTCTCCGCGGCCTCCGCGTCCCTGGCCTCCGCGTCCCCCGCGGCCTCCGCGCCCCGCTCCTCCTCCGGGGCCGCGCGCGCCCGCTGCTCCGGCTCCTCGCGCGCCGCTGGCTCCACGGGCGGCGGCGGCGAGGCCGGGGCGCACTGGGGCGCGGGGGCCCCGGCGCCCGAGGACGCCGACGACGCCGAGTCGTCCGAGGCGCAGGCCGGGCCCCAGTCGTCCCACAGCCAGGGCGCGTGCGCCTGCTCCAGCAGCCGGCGGCCCAGGCGGTAGTGGAGCAGCGCGCGGTAGCACGGCCCGTACTCGTCCCAGCGCGGCTCCTGGTAGCGCTTCATGTATTCGCTCTTCACGCCGCTCCCCGGGGACATGGTGCCTCCCGCCGGCCCCGAGTGCCCGCCGTTCCGCGCCGCGCTGTCGCCTACGGAACCCGCGGCACGACACATAGGCGCG